TGCACCGAACTCGGCCTTCCATAAATTCAATTGCAGGCTTTTGCTAACTGTACAGATGCACTCACAGCTTTTGCCCTGATCGGTTGGACCTGTGACCACTTCTGCGTGTGCAGGACATGTACGATGCTGAAGCGCAGGCATTGCACAAGGCGTTGGAGTCCAGCTACGACATGGCACCACACCATACTCTGTGGTGCTACGAAGAAGGGGAAGACGAGGAGGAGGAGGAGGAAGAGGAGGAGGTGGATCTCCCCTGGACAAGCAAGCTGAGCACGAGCGAGAAGTGGAGATTTCAATTGGCGAGGGCCCTTCTTCACAATCCGCACGTCTTGGCCATTCACCGCCCCGTGCAGGAGCTTGAAGGCGAGGTGAGACAGGCGGTCTTATCAGCCCTCCAAGACTTCGTGCAGATGAGGGGGCTGGATATCGAAGGCGGGCTGGACAGAACTCGGCGGCGCCCACGAACCGTGATCTTCACAACTGGCAGCAATGACAGGTTTGAAATCGCAGATTACGTATGGCGGATCACACCGGGCTCTGGAGTCATCGTTGAAAAATGTCCCTCTCGCGGCGGCAGACCGTGAAGGATCCGAGCTACGTACAAGAGCATCATCGGCATGCGATTGGACTGCCGTCACGGCGCACAAGCCGCCAGAGCAAGAATCTGTTTCGATTTTCGATTCTAGTTTCATATTGCTTCCCGACAGGCATGAAAATCTGCCAGATGTCGGTCTCATGGAAGGGTCCCCGCAGATTTGAAGTCACATGTGACGTTCTTTTCTGACGGAGTGGTAAATGCGGTCGGTATACCGTGGAAAGAACACCTATCAAAAAACTGACGCACAGATGTGCGCCAGCACCTGTTTCAGTTGGATTGTTGCGTGAGTGAGTGGATGCCGCATTCGGGACTGGCTCAAGCGCACAGGGCTTGTGGTGGGAAAGGTGTTGAAAAGCTCTGCATGCAGATATTTGGAATAATTCAGGTGGAGGTCGAATGTAGCAAGTTCGAGCTCTGGTGACTGATTGAGACGGACCTGTGCCATCCTGTGCCCAGATGGCATTTAGCTACAGAGCAGGTGTATCCTCAAGACGAGCCTCAGCAGCATTCAGCAAACCGGGATTCATGCATGTCATGCACCCGTGAGCACACTTAACATGATCCCATCCGTTCAATCTCTGCCCGAGCGAAGCTACCAGAGGCCCGACATAAGAGACACAGTCTCCGATATCCAGCGCTCCGAATACGCAGTGTCTACTGAGTTTAATACTGTTTATAGGCTGAACTACCGTGATACGGCACGCCTGCAGGGGTAAATGCAGACAAGCGAGCAGCAAGCCAAGTCATGGCGAGAGCATTGCGAAAGCGAACACACGGTCATTATCCATCATGGAGCCAGTTTAACATTGTTCACTCCTTCGAAGCTTTCAGGTGATGCCTGGGTTCCGTTGGTCAACCAGCCAGTGGTCACAGCCCCTCTCATTGCAGCTCCTCGGCCGTCGCAACCATCACGGAGCAGGTGCAAACTCGGCGATTGCTCTTGCTCGGGTTTGTGTGGCGTCGTCGTGCTTTGTAAAGCCGCCCAGTGCTTGTGTAGGTCAACAGCGAGAGAGAGGGAGAGAGGGATAGGCTGTTTCGATATTGCATACTTTATGGCCCTAGCCTTCCAGTGGTGTCTACACTCGTTTCTCACTCCCCGTAGCCCAACAACACGTTGGGTGAGCCTGGTGCCCGGGGATGTTGACCCGTCCCCATGCCCGGGAGAGAGAGAGAGAGAGAGAGAGGGATAGGGACCAATGCGGAAGGCAAGACCAAGTACCTGTGGATGCAGCTATCCCAGTCGCCAGAGCGCAGACGCCGGGTCCAGCTGGCCGGCAAATGCAAACGACTTTGCCTCAGCTTCGGGGCCACACTCAGCCAAATCGAGACCGAATGGCCGACGGGGACAGTGTGGTTCAAGGGGACGCGAGTTTGCTGTTTGCTCGGCAACGACACGACAAAGCCAGGAGAAGCAGAGGAAGCGGGTGCGGGATGGATCAATGTGAAGGCCATCGCGAGGGGGCTGGCCCAACCGCAGAAAGACGTCGAAGATGAGTGGGGGACGTTGCGCTCAGCACTCCGCTGAGGCACCGGACCAACAGAGAGCTGCGGCGAACAGGGGGAAGAAGCCCCCCAGTTTCACGAACTGAGTGCCAAACCCCTGAAGGGGGACAAAGAGGCACCCTTGACAGTGGCTACCTGGAACGCGGGCGGCCTCTCCGCTGCCAACGCACTGGAGATGCTGCAGGCGCTCGGGGGAAACAATGCGCTCTCCCATGTGCAGATCTTTCTGTTGCAAGAGATTGTTTCTGATGAGGGCAAGTTTTTTGCTGCAAACAAACCATGGACTATAGCATACGGCAAAGCAGAAGGGGAGTGGAGGGGGGAAGGGGTTGCATGGCACACCACCATGGGCAAGCACACAGGCACTTTGGTCATGGCAGGGGGCGTGGCACTCACGCTGACCACTGCGACGGGACACAAATGGGGGCTGCTCAGCGCGCACGCCCTCATGAGCAGATGGGAGGACACTGGAGCGCTCAAGCAACGCAGGGTGCTTATGGGTGGATGCGAACGAACAGTTCGCAGCAAGCCAACACTCAGGGGGGCAGCAGCAGGCGCAGGGCCACACCAGCAGAGCAGAAGCCATACTAGCCTGGCAGCAGAGGCAGGGGCTCAGGCTGCCACCGCAAGAACTCCATAAAGCCTCGCACTTCCTTTACGCCACGGACCTGCATCCCCGACGCCTTGACTATGTGCTACTCAAGGGGTGCTTCTCAGTCAAAGGGGAGGTGGGGGATGCGCGCGACATAGCCAGGTCCAATCATGAGCCCATCCTCGTGCAGCTCCGTGCCCAAGTCCCCAACGGCAGCCACCATAAGCAATCCTGCGGGCCAAGACACGTTACAGTCAAAGACCTTAAGGAAAGAGAAGCCATACTCAACGAACAGGCCCTCACAAGACCAGGGGACCGCCACCACCAGATCTCGCAGATGAGCCAGCTGCTCACAAAAGCAGGCAGGGGGGATGTGCGCAAGTTCCAAGAGAGCAGGACACTCAAGCAAGCAAGGCGGGAGGCACACCAGCTGCCACCGGGACAAGCCAGACGACAGGCGTGGAAAGCAGTGCACAAGCAGCTCCGGGGGGAACACAAGCAGTGGAAGCAGCACATGACAGCCTTGGCCAGCCAACACGACTGGCCAGCCGACCGGCAGCATAAGCGCAGCGCGCAGATGGGGGACACATGGGTGGCGGTGCTGACAGACAACCACGACTGGCAGGGAGCCCTACTGGCACACTGTCGGGGCATCTTCGGCAAAGCAGATGGGGGGGTGAGGGACTTAGACTTTGCAGAACGGCGGGGGAGGCTCGCTAGAGCATGCAAGCACACACGGTGGGTCCCCTTCTCGCATGACGAGCTCATGGCGGTGTCGGCGCGATGGAAGAACAACAAGTGCACGGGGCCGGACCTCATTGCACATGAGGCCCTCGACATCCTGAAGCAGCACCCAGTTTGGGAGCATAGACTCCGGCAGATGCTCAGCGACGCGCTCTACGAGGGGGGGTTGCCTGCAGCAGTTGAGCGGGGGATGACGGTATTACTCCCAAAAGAGGCCATGCCCAAGCAGAGGGGGGAGACGAGACCCATCACACTTAGCAGCACCATCCTCAAAGCAATCGCACAGCTGCTCTTGCGCAGATGCGCGTACACACTGCAGCCCCTCAACACGCTTCAGTGGGCAGCCCCCAAGAAGCAGGGGACGGAGCTCATCCTTACTCTTAGGAAGGTGGCTAGGATGGCCCGCGATTGGGCGGGGCACTTCTGGATCATCAAGCTCGACCTACAGAAGGCGTTTGATTCAGTGGCGCAGACAAGCCTAGCAGCCTTAGTCGAGGAGCGTGTGGGGCCAAACCACCCATGGGAAGCGAGGGGGGCAAGCAGCAGCGTCGACCCGCCACCCGGCAGCAAAGCAGCGACGGAAGCGAAAGAGCGACACGCGAGGGACAGAGCACAGTTTGCTGCAGTGCTCAACCTACACCAAAAGCCCAGACAGCCACAGACAAGCACGGACGCCAGAGCCGGAAGCAGCAACGACCCACCACCACAGCAAGCAGCCGCAGCAGCCAAGCCCGAGAGGGATGCCCAGCCAGACGCAAAGGGAGCGACAGGCCCGCCGCACCCGCAAACAGCAGCAGAGAGGCAGCCACAAGAACAAGCCGCTGAGCACCCGCAGCTGGAAGAAGAGGAGAACATCGCGCCCAGAACGGGGGCAGAAGCCGCAGCAGGAAGCAAGGAGGCCACAGCAGCTGAGGCAAGACACGAGCGAAACATCTACCACAACGGACAGATGCCGCAGCAAAGCAGACCGAGGAGAATACCTCCTAGAATTCCTAGAGCGGGGGGGACAACGAGTGCTGCGGGCCTTTCCGTTGAACTCCCCGGTGCAATGGTACACGGGGACGAGCGTGTACATGGCTTCTATGGGCGGATATCTGCCCCCCGCCCCGCTGCCGCCAGAACTTCCCATCAGCAGACTGGCATTCGCCCACTACAGATATTTGGGGCATGGAAGCTGGTGCGTCATGATCCTTTCGCGCACTTCGCTGGCGACGCCAAATTACGAAAAAGTCAAGCTCAGGGGGTTCGCGAGGATCGGACAGCAGAGCAAACATGGCCACGAGGGGGACGTGCTCTCGATAGGCCTCGATAGGCTTCCAGGCGGAGCTGCACATGTTCGTCAGAGCACAGCCACGACAACGAGAGCCAGGCAGCGGCAACTTCCCTCCCGGCCACTACCGGCTACACTGGCAACCGGGGGGACAGTACTGGAGCTTCAGCGCCATGGACCCGGATGACGGGGAGATACTCCGGACATGTCGGCGCACATGCAGGAGCATGAGCTCGCCCAGCTCGACACAGGGACGGCCGCCATAAGGGGGCTCAGATACCGACTTCAACTGCATGACGAAGACCCCTTTGCACCAAAAACACACAAAGCGGAAGCCCTGGCCAGAAGCCACGAACCAAGGGGGGGCCCCGCTGACCTTTCCGCCGGACGAGATCTACGGGGACCGGGCGCACCACCCGTGGGCCCGTCAAGTTCAGCAACCGGGGGACCAAGACCAGCCGGAGACGGACGCCGAAACCAGCTCGTCAGCTTCTACCTCGACGACCACAGAGGACGAAGAAGAAGCCACACAAGAACAGCCGCGGCAACAGCAGCCACCAGCAGCCGGAGAGGAGCGGGCCGCAGAACCACAACGACCCCACACGAGAGCAGCCATAGCGCCTCAGGCAACTCCATGCGCTATGAAGGACGACCGCAGGGGGACGACAGGCCCGGACCGTCGGGGGAGCAACACGACAGGCACAACAACCCGCGGGCTACTCCTACTTGTCGCTGGAAGCCAGAGCAGACTTTAGACCCAGCAACCGCCCGACGCAACAGCAGCCAGCCGCAACACCAGCGACTCCGAAAGCAGCTGGCCGAGCGAAGACCCACCCCAAGAGCCTCCTGAGCACAGCTCTCTTATGCAAACAAGCACGGAAAGGGGGAACAAGCCGAGACCGGCCACCACAAGCACTACCACACACATGCAAACACCAACCGCAGGAGGGGGACAAACAGAAGACTCGGCCGAAGCAGAAACAGTGCCATGGCACGCGCCTCCATGTGCAGGGGGGCAGGCCCCACAACCTCCAGCGGCCACAGCCCCAGCAGACCCCAGCAGCACCGTCCCAGAGGAGGACATGCCAGACACCACCACCGAGGAGGAGATGTGGGGAGAGACCAGGAGGAGAGCGCCACGGCTGGTCGAGAGAGAGGGGAGAGCAAGGCGGAGGCTAGCAAACCGCGAAAGCAGCCCGGCACAAGCAGCCCACCGGCAGCCAGTCAACAACATGAGCACACCGAGCCCCTTGAAAAAAGCGCGGAGCCAAGCATTTCAGCTGCTGCGCAGCCAGACAGAAGAGACCATGGCAGAGTGGGAACAAGCCACGGCATCAGCAGATGGGGGGACGCCAGCCCAAGCAGTACAAGCAACCACCAACGCAGCAGCCGAACACATCCGCACAGCAGAACAACTAGCGAGAAGCATCGAGCTGCAGGGGGTCGCCGCATACTTGGGGGGCCCGACCACGCAACTTCAGCTGAATGAGCCAGGGGGGCAGATGAGGCCGCAGCAAGCCCTCCCGAGCCCAAATGCCTTCGAGATAGCCGCCATCATCCGAGGGGTCATGGCAGACAGGGCAAGTCAAGGAGATGTACCAGAGGGGGCGATCGAGCTGCTCGAGTTGCAGGAAAAGTTGCAGGAACTGGTGCAAGCAGGCCAAGCCCTACTGTTGGGGGGGCGTCGGTCGCAAGACTGGACCCGCACGCACCATGCCACAGATGCGGCGGACGATGCGGAGGCACTGCTCCATGCGACAATCAATGCAGGGGGCATGGGGGACTTGGCGGAGACCACGCTCGGCACCCTCCAGAACCTGCTCAACGCGGCGGCCAACAGGTTCAACGTGCTCGTGGGCAACTACCCGCACAAGACAAACGCCGAAGCGCTGCCAGCGCACCCTGCAGACGTGATACGCATTGCAGGGGGGGCGCCAGAAGAGCAAATGAGGAAGGGGAGAGAGGCCGACGCAGTGCACGTTTACAAAGCAAAGAAGCTCCTCCGGGAGCTGACGCCCTTTCTGTCGGGGGACATCCGTTGGCGTGTGGATCAAGCACTGCAGCACCTGGTGCAATGGACAACAGAGCACTGGGGGGGAAGACGTCGAGGTCGTGGAGGACTCAGAACCAACGAACAGGGGGGCGGCCAGTACCTCAGCACCTTCTACCACCGCTGCGGGGGCTGCGGGGGCCTGCACCAGAGCCTCGAGACCTACTACAACCGCAGCGGGGGAGGCACTATGCACTGAGGGGACGCAGACGCCGCAACCTCGACAGCCCCAGCTCCCTAGACAACGACGATTAGGGGGTGTTTTGGGTTCTAATGCCAGTCGGGGGAGCTGGGACTTCCTGAAGCCCTGAGACTGGAGGCCTGTAGCATATCTAGGGGTAGGCCTGCTGATTGCCGTCTCGTCTTACTTGCGAGTACTAAAGGCCCTGTAAGGAGGCTTGATAGCTGATTCTAATGAAGGGGGTCGTCGGGGAAATACCTAACATGTGAAGCAACATGCCGTTACCTTCCAAGCCGCCGACCCCCGAAAAGCCACGAAGTCAATGCATCGTGAGGGGGACGCACTCAAGAACTAGGAAGGGGGAATACCATGTGTACGCTGTTACTTGCCTTGATCTAGGTTGCTTGCCCAGGGGGAAGAGTGCAGCCCTCCGAGACCCAACAAGGGGATCGACGCCCAAAAACATTGGGGCTCTGCAACAGTGGTTGTGTATACAAGCCCCCGATGAGAGCCACAGGGGCGCGGGGATGAGGCCCGCATAGGGGTCGTAGCGTACAGGGATTGGGGGCTTGCAGTACAACCACATGGGGCAGCTTTTGTCTTCTCATGCCGCGGTCAGTAGAAACCCCAATGCCGGCCACCTAATAAACAAAAGAGTGGTCGGGCGGGCCAAAGGCCTGAGGGTCTCCCCGCGGGACCCCTACGCCCGGCAGAAAGAAAGAAAGAAAGAAAGAAAGAGGGATAGGCAGTCTTCCGAGGGGTTGGGGGCACGTGGTCGCTCTACCTCTTGGATCAGTCCTTGCCGCCAAAGTGGCAACCGACTGGGGTGCACGAGCGCGCGGGAAGTGGAGGGACTGTGGAGAAGAGGAGAGCCTTCAGGTGGGTTGGAGGTCTTCGGTCTAGTGGTGGTTCCTCGTAAGAACACCGGTGAGTGTGCCCGCTTTTCCACAAGTGCCCCGCCAACCTTCGAAGACCCCACTGTGCGATATCGCATGAGGGCAGCGCTCGTATACTGTCCTCTGTTTGTGTTGAAGAAACAGCTGAAATCCAAAGGCCTAAGCTTGGACACGGACATACACGGACAACGGGATGAAAGGGTACGGGCACAGATGTGATGTCTTCAGCACTTGGCCCCAAAGCGGAGGGACGGAGGGGCGGGGGCAGTCGGCCTCCTGCTTTCGGCAATCCTTACTCCTGACAGTGATCCTTCGTCCAGGTATTGCCTTTGCCTGTTTTTTGCAGCAGTCCTAAGCAGAGGAGTAAAATGCAGCTTTGGCACACTCCCTCAGGCAATTCAGCATTGATGCACAAAAATCGGCAAACATGAAGGCTGAAATGGATGTCGTTCGTGTCTGGCTGGTATGACTGGGGATGTTAATACTGGCGACCTTCTGTGTAGTGTTTTCGGTTAGCTCCCTACCTGCATCTAAACCTTGCGGACTGCTTCGACAACTGGCAGGGGCAACGATGTGGTGCAGTTTCTCTCACGGACCTTCTACTTTACTGAGAAGGATTGGGCGGCTGCTGGTATGTTTGTTTCAGTCGGCATTTAGTCTCAAGTAGAGCCAGGACTACTTCACTGGTGCCATGTCCTATCAGTCTGCAAGGCTCCAAACAAATTAGATGGATAGGTTGATCGATCGACAGATGGACTGCCTTCTATTCTGTGACATGATTCCAACTTTTTTCGAGCTGATTCTGCTAGACCTCGCGCCGTTCTCTCTTCTCAGCTCAACACGTTGTGCAGGAGAATGCGCTTATACGAGTTGCGCGGGTGGGTTCACTGTATGGGCAATGCTCGGTGAACTGGAGAACAGAAGATGGATCGGCGCAGGAAGGCCAAAAGCCCCTCGACCGAGAACTTGTGGAGATGCCAGCTCGCACTTGAGTGAATCTGTCGCCTTCGGCTTGATCTGCGACTGAAGGTATCGTGGGGCCGGTGGTACTCTCGTCTTCGGTCCTGGCGAGTCTCTCCGAAGCTTTGAGGCGTGGAATTTGCTGCCTACTGTTGGGAGCAACAACAGGGGGACCCTATTTTTTGTTGGCCCTTTTTTTTTTCGTCTTTCCGGGGGGATGGCGGGAAGGAAGCCAGGAAGGAAAGAAGGAAAGCGGCGAGGAAAGAAGGAAGGATGGAAGGCAGGGAGGCAGGAAGGAAGGAAGGAAGGAAGGAAGGAAGGAAGGAAGGAAGGAAGGAGGGAAGGAGGGAAGGAGGGAAGGAGGGAAGGAGGGAAGGAGGGAAGGACGAAGAAGGAAGGAAGGAAGGCAATATGAAGAAT